CTCTTTGTAAGTAACATATATAACACCGAGATGAAAGATGAAAAATAATCAAATAAAGAAATTAGAACGATAAAATTGTAAAATTAATACAATAGATAACCACTTGCTTGTAAGCGTGGTTTTTAAATGCATCAAAAATTGTCGAAAAACACTTGTAATATTATGTGCTATTAACATTACATCACGTGAAACAGCAATCACTATTGCTGAAACTAAGGAAAGCCCGATTACTCCTAAATGAAAACAAGTAGCCATTATGTTTTTCAAGCTTAACCTAATGTAATACATTATCAGAAACATAGTTTTGACAAGTATGTGACCATTGCAACATATTGACACTGAAAAAATTGAAAATCCTTAATGCATGATCACATTTCAGATTTTGGTCTGTGTCATACGACAGTGGAGGTATTTCCACTTTATGTCTATTGAGATTTTGTTTAACTTTTATATAGAACTATCAAATGGAACAATTAATTTTTCTGCGCGCTTATATGCAACTTTAGATAAAGTTACTTGCATTTTGTGCGCTTACCTGTTCGGTTCGTCAAGAATGATAATTGGTGGATTTTTCACTAGCTCGAGAGCGATCATCAGCATTTTCTTTTCGCCACCGGACAGTTTCTCCGAGGTTGTGTTTCGTGAAGCAGACAATCTGAGAGTATTCAGGATCTCGTCTGTCTAAAAGATATTCCTCTGACTTATGCGCGGCGACAAATGTATGAATATTTAACAGTACAGCTGTTGGTGCGAGACAATCTTGGATATTATAAAACGTAAAAGTAAAGTAAAAGAAAGAAAGGATGGGGAGCATTTTACGCATTTATGTATTGACTTGTGGTGTACTTACGATAACGCATTTCTCAAATCGGAATTTTCTTTTGTCAAGCTTCAGGTCGGCGGCGAATGTCATTGCTTCAATGACCGTGAGGTTCGGCTGCACAACATTTTCTTGCATGACGTAACACGACATCTTCCTGAATTCCCGAACATCTCGTGGTTATCCATTGATACTTATAGAACCACTTACGTCTATGCATNATTAATTAAATCATTACCCACACAGCACAAGGCGTCCTCGGAATCATCCTGCATGCGTTCAGAATATCCTTTGGGATATTTTCAGGATATTTAGTTGTATTTTATACAAATATATTTTACTATTTTATACAAATATTTTATATGCATATTTATTCTATATTCCATAAGTAAATATGAAATATCTCTGGGACTTCTCTATAATGTCTTTTGAACATTTGTGCTGTATGGGTGATTATTTAGTCGATATGTCATATGTCGAGATTAGTGATTTTCAATGTTAACGTTATACTTCTTAAACATTTCACATATAATATATACATGTCCGTAAGAAATAATATAATAGAATTATTGATGTAATTCATTTTCGACAATTAATATAATACTCTACGATATCATTTGTATAAAACAATTCATCCTTACGACTATCGCGTACAAATTGACATATCTGCATATGTATAGTATGCCGTAAACCGTCTGGACC